TTAAGATGAGGTTTCACCATGTTGGTCAGGCTGGTCTTGAACTCCCGACCTCAGGTGATCTGCCCGCCTTGGCCTCCAAAGTGCTTGGATTACAGGCGTGAGCCACCATGCACGGCCAAACTACACTTCTTCTGTGATCTACATTTTCTGAATGACTTCAAAATAACAGCTGAATATGGCGTCTTTCCTCAGAATTGCACGAAGCTTTAAATATCACCTACTGTGGCGTGTGGTGGCACATGCCTGCAATCCCAGCACTGGGGAGACTATAGTGTATTAGGCTTGATTCTCAGAGTTTGAAACCAGCCTGGGCAACATAGCCAGACACCGTCTCAATAATAAATAAGTAAATATTACCTCCTCAGGGAAGATTTCCTGAGGCACCAGACCAGCTTGGGCTTCCCACAACGCCAATGGCCTCCCACAGCACTGGGTGACCACAGAGCTCTAGTCACAACTGCCATTTAATCCAGGTCTGGTTTGTTTTCCGTCTGTCTCCTCTGCCCAAAGCTGAGCTCCATGAATGTTTGTTTGTCCGTGACAGCATCCTGGAGTCTAGCACAGTGCCTGGTATAGGAGGTTCTGAATAAATATTTGTCAACTGATACAATCTAGTGGGGTAAATGCTGAGGAGACAGACTGCAGAGGCGAGCTGGTGGTGATTCCTTTTTTTTTTTTTTTTTTTGAGATAGGGTCTCCCTCTGTCACCCTGGCTGGTATGTAGTGGCGCCATCTCAGCTCACAGCAACCTTCACTTCTCAGGTTCAAGCGATTCTCTTGCCTCAGCCTCCCAAGTAGCTGGGGTTACAGGTGCCTACCACCAGGCCTGGCTAATTTTTGTATTTTTAGTAGAGATGGGGTTTCACCATGTTGGCCAGGCTGGTCTCGAACTCCTGACTTTAGATGATCCACCTGCCTCGGCCTCCCAAAGTGCTAGGATTACAGGCGTGAGCCACTGTGCCTGGCCTGATTCTTATCTTAAGGCTGTGAGGGAACCCTTCATTCAAATTATGAGCAGAAAAAAACACCTGATTAAAGACTCAGGGGTAGTGAGGTGAAGGGCTGAGATTAGTGCCCGGATGGTCGATGCACATCTGTAATCACATTAGTGCAGCAAGGGTAGAGAAACCCAGAATTCTCTCATTCAGTCCCCAAATCAAGCAGGAATCATTGTCTCCTGGCTCATGGAGCTGCATTTCTTTGCCAAGGGCCGGATGGAAGCTGGCCTAAGCTCTGGGGATGGTTTACCAACAGGACCATTTTATTACCTCAAAATGTGTAGGATGTTTACCTTTCCAAAGGCATTTTTTTTTTGAAACAACATCTCAGGCTGGGGTGCAGTGACACAATCTCAGGTCACTACAACCTCAGCCTCCTGGACTCAAGAGATCCTCCTGCCTCAGCCTCTTGAGCAGCAGGGACCATGGGTGCATGCTACCACACCTGGCTAATTTTTGTACTTGTAGGTGAAACGGGATTTCACCATGTTGGCCAGGCTGGTCTCAAATTCCTGACCTCCAGTGATTCATCCTCCTTGGCCTCCCAAAGCTCTGGGATTACAGGTGTGAGCCACAGCACCTAGCCTCTAAAGGTGTATTTTTAAATCACTAAAAATTAAATAATAATACAAATACTTGGAGACTCTGGAGGCAGCAAAGAGAGAAGGCCAAATGAGTGCAGACTATAAGAATGGAATAGTGGCCGGGCCCGGTGCTCAGGCCTGTAATCCCAGCACTTTAGGAGGCTGAGGTGGGTGGATCACGAGGTCAGGAGTTCGAGACCAGCCTGGCCAAGATGGTGAAACCCCATCTCTACTAAAAATACAAAAATTAGCCGGGTGCAGTGATGGGCACCTGTCATCCCAGCTACTCAGAAGGCTGAGGCAGGAGAATTGCTTGAACCTGGGAGGTAGAGATTGCAGTGAGCTGAGATTGAGCCACTGCATTCTAGCCTGGGCAACAGAGCAAGACTCCGTCAAAAAAAAAAAGAACAGAATAAAGAGTAAGGGTAAGACTACAAAGAGGAATGAAAATACGAGGGTGGGAGAAAAGGTAGGGAAAAGAGAACTGATGTGTACCTTCTTGTGCGTACTTTAGCTTTCCTTTAGAATCACCGACTGTCCGAAGAGAAATTTAAACAGTCAGCATGTATGAATTGAATGCTGTGAAAGACAAACATATGTTTAAAATCCCACAGGAACATTATAAATGTGAGCAGGTCAGCAGGGAGGCACCCAGCCTTGGTAGGCATCCTGGGATGTCATGAAGCTGGGTATGTGTTTTCAGCCCTGCTATACCAAGTTTCTTTCTTTTTTTTTTTTGAGACGGAGTCTCACTCTGTCACTAGGCTGGAGTGCAGTGGCGCGATCTCGGCTCACTGCAAACTCCACCTCCCGGGCTCAAGCGGCTCTCCTGCCTCAGCCCTCCTGAGTAACTGGGACTACAGGCACGCGCCACCATGCCCAGCTAATATTTGCATTTTTAGTAGAGACGGGGTTTCACCGTGTTAGCCAGGATGGTCTTGATCTCTGGACCTCGTGATCCGCCACCTTGGCCTGCCAAAGTGCTGGGATTACAGGCGTGAGCCACAGCGCCTGGCCCCAACTTTCATTTTTGAGTGAGGGTGATTGTATTTGGAGTTAGAATGAGTAAACCCTTTTTGACTTTCGTAGTTAGGAATATCAAGCTTGGCTGTAAGCAATAGAAAAAAAATTAAAATAAGTGGCTTAATAAAATAGAATTTTAGGCCAGGCACTGGCCTAAATTTGTGGCTCACACCTGTAATCCAAGCACTTTGGAAGGCCCATGCAGGAGGATCACTTGGGCCCAGGAGGTCAAGGCTAGAGTGAGCCATGATTTCACCAAGGCGCTCCAGCCTGGGCAACAGAATGAAACCCAGTCTCAAAAAAAGAGACAATTTTCTCTCTACTCGCGCGGCTGACTTGCAAGATGGTGCCACAGAAAGACAAGAAGCCCAAGAGGTCAACCTGGAAGTTTAATTTGGACCTTATTCATCCAGGAGAAGATGGAATTTTTGATTCTGGACATTTTGAAAAATTTCTGTGGGAGAAGGTTCAAGTCAATGGCAAAACTGGAAACCTTGGGAACCTTGTTCACATTGAATGCTTCAAGAATTAAATCACTGTTGTTTCTGAGAAACAGTTCTCTAAAAGGTATTTGAAATACTTTGCCAAGAAATACCTTAAGAAGAACAATCTTTGTGATTGGCTTCGAGTGGCTGCAACTGACAAGGAGACTTAAGAACTTTGTTACTTCCAGATGAGTCAAGATGAAGATTAATCAGTTGGAGGACTAGGCAAAGGTTTCCCTTATAGGGCTTTGCCTATTAATAAAATATATTATGTATACATGAGAAATACCAAGAAATTGGCTTTTAGTTTTTCAGTGACAAAAAAGAGAGACAATTTTTAATTTTTTTTTTTTAATTTTTTTGGATGGAGTCTAGCTCTGTCGCCCAGGCTGGAGTGCAGTGGCACAATCTTGGCTCACTGCAACCTCTGCCTCACAGGTTCAAGCAGTTCTCCTGCCTCAGCCTCCTGAGTAGCTGGGATTACAGGCCCGCACCACCATGACCTGCTAATTTTTTTATTTTTAGTAGAGAGGGGGTTTCACTGTGTTGGCCAAGCTGATCTCAAACTCCTGACCTTGTGATCCGCCGGCCTCGGCCTCCCAAAGTGCTAGGATTACAAGCGTGAGCCACCGTGCCAGGCTGAGACAATTTTATTTCTGGTACACGTTTTCAAGAAGACAGTTAGGAGATAGCTTATCAGGGTTCACGTGGGGCTCAAGAGTGACGAGTCTTCTACTTGATCGCACCACAGTGCGCAGTTTCCCTTTTCAGGGTGGCCTCATAGTCTAAGATGGCTGCTGACACCCCAGTCACACACCTGCTTTCTACTCAGCAAAAAGACCAGACTGAGAAGGATGCGTCCTTTCTTTTTTATTTTTTTAAGAGACAGGGTCTCGCTATGTTGCCCAGGCTGGAGTGCAGTGGCTATTCACAGGGGCGATCCCACTACTGATCCGCATGGGAGTTTTGACCTGCTCCGTTTCTGACCTGGGCCGGTTCACCCCTCCTTAGGCAACCTGGTGGTCCCCCGCTCCCGGGAGGTCACCATATTGATGCTGAACTTAGTGCGGACACCCGATCGGCATAGCGGCACTACAGCCCAGAACTCCCGGGCTCAAGTGATCCTCCCACCTCAGCCTCCTGAGTAGCTGGGACTACAGGCACGTGCCACCGCGCCCGGCGCATCCTTTCTTTTAAAAGGTACTTTTTAGCAGTTGCACCCGCAACTCCTGCTTATGTCCTGTTGGACATAAATTTTCTTCATGATAACATCGACCTGCGAAAACAGTTGGTAAAAGGAAGATTTTTGTCCTGGGGGGAAAATCCTTAAAATTAAAAATCAAGGACTCCATTACTGAGAAGAAAAGGAAAATGATGACTGGAGGACAATATGTAATGTGGAATCTTTGTCACTGGAATTGAACATGTTTTTTTTTGTTCCTGAAAGTGAGTCTTGCCTCAGTCTCTCCAGGGTATGGTGAGGGGTGGGCATGGTAGCCGATAGAAAGCTAGTGTCCTGGGCCGGGCATGGTGGCTCACGCCTATAATCCCAGCACTTTGGGAGTCTGAGGCGGGCGGATCACAAGGTCAGGAGATGGAGATTATCCTGGCCAACATGGTGAAACCCCATCTCTACTAAAAATACAAAAATTAGCTGGGTGTGATGGCACACACTTGTAATCCCAGCTACTTGGGAGGCTGAAGCAGGAGAATCACTTGAACCCAGGAGGCAGATGTTGCAGTGAGCCGAGATCGCGCACCACTGCACTCCAGCCTGGTGACAGAATGAGACTCTAACTCAAAGAAGGAAGAAAGAAAGAAAGAAAGAGAGAGAGAGAGAGAGAGAGAAAGCAAGCAAGCAAGCTAATGTCCTTAGGACAAGGATTGGCTTTAATCCCACTTTGGGTCATTGGGTGATCAGAAATCCAAATGTGGATACAAATGTCTATTTTGTTTGTTTGTTTTTGAGATAGAGTCTTACTCTGTCACCCAGGCTGGAGTGCAGTGGCACTATCTTGGCTCATTGCAGCTTCAACCTCCTGGGCTCAGGTGAGTCTCCCACCTCAGCCTCCCTGAGTAGCTGGGACTACAGGTGCCCACCACCATGCCAGCTAATTTTTTGTATTTTTAGTAGAGATGGAGTTTCACTATCTCATCCAGGCTGGTCTCAAACTCCTGGACTCAAGCAATCCACCTGCCTCAGCCTCCCAGAGTGGTGGGTTTACAGGCATGAGCCACCGCATCTGCCACAAAAGTCAACTTAAGAGTACAAATGAGGAAAAAATAATCTAGTTTTGCCAATTATATTATCACTAAAGCTCTTACATTTTTGTAAAAAGTCACCAGACATGTTGTATAATGTCCGTTCTTCCTTCCTTCCTTCCTTCCCTCTCTCTCTCTCTCTCTCTCTCTCTCTCTCTCGATAGTGTCTCACTCTGTCACCCAGGCTAGAGTGCAGTGGTGTGATCATAGCTCACTGCAGCCTCGAACTCCTGCGTTTAAGCCTCCTCCCGTTGAATTTAGATGGTAAGTGTAGACAGGTCTTTAAATTCAACCCTCATCCTATGGATTTAGAGACAACAGCTGAATATCCAGAAGATAAAGATTCCTATCTGCTCCTTCTTACTGTCTTCTTTGCTTATGGGAAAATGCTTGAGTTACCCCAAATTCTATCCTGTTTTTTTTTCTCTCTCTCTTGCATTTTAATCTCTCTCTCTCTCTCTCTCTCTCTTTTTTTTTTTCAAGATAGGGTTTCACCATGATGGCCAGGTTGGTCTTGAACTCCTGACCTCAGGTGATCCACCCACCTCGGCCTCCCAAAGTGCTAGGATTACAGGCATGAGCCACCACGCCTGGCTTGCATTTTAATCTTTCTTGAGCTTTTTCAAATGTGTCATATTTAAAAGTGGACTCATCTTTTTTTTCTAACCCTGTTCCTGGCTGTCCCCCAACTGAGTAGGCCGCACCAGCCATGGCCCCAGCCTTGCACCCCACTCTCCCTCACAGCTCACATTTAGTGAGTGCTGGGCTTTCTACTTCCTTCTCTCTAATTCACTTTTTGCTTTCACCAAACTCCTGCCATCCTCCAAGAACAGGGAAGCATCCTGTCTTGCTAGATTACAGCAGGAGCCTCCCTGCCTCCTCGGATCATCCAGGCTGATCCTGCTAAAAGCTCAACTCTATTCCTGTCTTGCCCTCTTTAAACCAAATACTTCCATAGAAGTAAGCCAGGTTCTTTTGCCAGTTTTTTCCTTTTAATTAATTAATTTATTATTTGAGACGGCATCTCAGGCTGGAATGTAGTGGCATGATCTTGGCTTGCCACAACCTCCGCTTCCCAGGTTCAAGCAATTCTCCTGCCTCAGCCTCCCAAGTAGTTGGGACTACAGTCACCTGCCACCACTCCAGGCTAATTTTTGTATTTCTAGTAAAGACGGGATTTCATTACGTTGGCCAGGCTGTTCTCAAACTCTGGACCTTGTGATCCACTGCCTTGGCCTCCCAAAGTGTTGGGATTACAGTCGTGAGCCCCTGTGTCCGGTCTTATTAATTAAGTTTTTAGAGATGGGGTCTTGCTCTGTCACCCAGGCTGAAGTGCAGTGGTGCAATCATAGCCTACCTCAACCTCGAACTCCTGGGCTCATGCAATCCTCCTGTCTCAGCCTCCTGAGTAGCTGGGAATACAGGCATGCACCACCACACCTGGCCAATTTTTAAATTTTTTGTAGAGATGGGGTCCCACTAAGTTGTCCAGGCTGGTTTTGAACTCCTGGCTTCCATCAATCCTCTTCATCTCTGCATGAAGACCCTTAACATGGCCTAGAAGGCCTCCGTGAGTTCCATCTCACCTCCTTCTTGCTTCCTTCCCTCCCGACCTTTACAAGTTGCAGCCATTTCAAACTTTTCACTTCTGATGATCTCATGTTCTCTCTGACCCCCGAGCCAATGCAGTGAGGTTCCTCCCTAACTAGATTCTTATTCCCTGTAGATTCCCAGACAGGCCTTCCCAGAAAGAAGCCCTCTCCTACCTCCCAGATTGGGTTAGGCTCCTCCTCTGTGCTGACTTCATTCTCCCCTCCAACATTGCTTAAGAGTGCTAAGTTGCAACTTTATGTCGAATTGATTGCTCAACTGGTCCATAAAACCTAGGAGAAAAGGGCTGTATCCTTAGCCCTTGACACAGGGCCTTGTGCATCTTAAGTCTGCGTATGAACCGCTTTATTTACCTGGGATATTATCTTATTTAATCCCCAAGACAACCCTGTGGGTTGGGCGTGATTATTCAATTGTCGTCATCGCTGTTATTTTAAATAGAGATGGGGGCTCACTATGATGCCTAGACTGATCTTAAACTCCTGGGCTCAGGTGATCCCCTACCTTGGCCTCCTAAAGTGTTAGGATTACAGGCGTGAGCCACCAAGACTGGCTGATTACCCCACTTTTAATGGATGAGCAAAGAGTCGAGGTTCCACTGGTTTTCCACTGCAGTGTCTCAGCTGAAGGCAAAAACAAAAACAGAAACAAAACCCCGCAGGGCTGTGCTGGCCTCCTGGGACTTCCAGAGGACAAGGCCCTCTCTTCAGTGAGGCTGACCTACAGAGCCAGCGCTCCTTCCCTCCAGGCCACAGCTGTGTGCTGGAAAGCTGGAGGCCTGGGCCCCTAATAAAGAGCAGACCTCCCAACCTCCTGGCTCCCTCCTCTTCCCCTCACATGGTTTTTCAAATTAAAAGCCACTAAAACCTAAGAGCAGGAGAGGGAGGAGGCACAACAGCATCCCTAGGCTTGAGGAAGGGGCTCTCTCGGGAGGGAAGGGGTATCCAAAAGCCAGATCCAGGGGGTTCCAGTCCTACCACCCTGTCCCAAGCTCTAAGGAGAGTATGGCCCACCAGGCGGGGCTGGACCATGAAACAAGCTCTGGTCGTCAATTAGGTCCCTAAACAGGCTGTGATGTTAGGAACCTTCTGCTTCTACTTCTCCCTGAAGAAAGAGCCCACCCAACCCAGAAGAGAGGCTGCACCTTGAGATCCAGCCAGTAACTACAGAGAAGCGGAGGTGGGTGCGGAGCCCTGGGGGGTGGGGAACTTTCACCTCCAGCTACACAGACCCATCTCGATCTTTTTGGAGAACTCCTTTTCCCAGACTTGTGCCATTCTGAATTCTGAGCATGCCAATAGACTCCTTAGAGCTCCTTCCGAGCCTCAGCTCGGGC